GGGTGGGTGTGGGTGTGGGTGTGGGTGTGGGTGTGGGTGTGGGTGTGGGTGTGGGTGTGGGTGTGGGTGGGTGTGGGTGTGGGGTGTGGGTGTGAGTGTGGGTGTGGGGGTGTGGATGTGGGTGTAGTGTGAATGTGGGTGTAAGGGTACTTGATCTGGATGTTCACTTGCACACCCTCTGCCCACATCCACACCCACCCTACTCCCACACACCATCCATAACCACACCCACCCTATTCCCACATACCGTCCATCCCCACACTCACACCCACATCTATAGCAACGTCCACACCCATACTCACACCCACTCTCAAACACCACACCCATACTCACTAACACCCACGTCCACTCACACCCACACCCTCACCCAGACGCTACACCCGCACGCACACCCACACCCATATCCTCACCAAGACCCTACACCCAAAAGAACTTTTTATCATTATTCTCGTGGTAGGAGAAAATGCAAGTGGGGAAAAGTCCATTTTTGTAGAAAAGAATGCTCTCGAATGATCGTTATTATTATCGTTTTCGTTTTTATCTGCCTGGATATCATAAATTTTTTTTTCTTTACTTGTAATCGTAACTATAACTCGTGCCCGCTTTTAATGATTTACAAGGGGCAATGTAAAAATTGTCATTAGTTGAAGTATTTTTATGAAAAAAAAACCAATGTTTTTATGGCAATCATGACTATAAAACTGGTAGAGAGTATTTGGGTAAAATTATTTGTTTCAAGACGATTTTCGATGTAACAAGTAAGGCTTTTTACGAATCTTTTTCGGTTGCATAGTTTCAAATTAAAATAAGAAGAACATAGGTTATCAACTGTGCTCAAATGTTACGATAAAAATTTGTTCATATGATGTATATGTTAGTCATCAATTTATTTGATTCCTTAGTGTCTAAAGTATTAGTACCGAGGAAAGTGAATTCTAGAATTTCATCGATTTCAATTTCATTTGTTGCCGATTCCATGACCGATATGGGAATCGTTTCCAATTTGAATTGAGATATTCCTAATAATTTCTTTGTTCTTAATAGAGTAGGTTGACAATGTTGAAATTCCAGCCCATTCAAAAGAAAAAGAATATGTTGAAAAAAATAAGAAACAGTTCTACATATTCATCGATCAGTTTTAATAAGAAGCAGTCGACATAGAATAGAATGTTTTTATATTTATCAAATTTTTCTTTAATTCCACTGACGAGGGAAGGTCCCCAAGTGTGACGCTCCGTTTCGAATCTGGCATTGGCCATTTTGTAGAACTCAGTGAGTACAGCGCGTAATATAAAGGGTTCGCCCCCATAATGGACTTCTAATGAACTACGAGGTACCACAAAGGATGTCCTATAGTGACTGAGGATAAACTGTTAATGGTATTTTTCATAGTTCATCTCAATATAGAGAGCTGCAATTTTTATCACATATATATGTAACCAAGATCTTTTATTCCTGAAAGTTTCAGCTCTCTAGCTATAACTAGCAATGAAATACATAGATGAGATTGAAACACAAATTTTCGTACAATGAAAATAATTCAAAAATCGAGTGTGAAAATTTGAGTTTCAATCTCATCTATGTATTTCACTACTAGTCATAGCTAGAGAGCTGGAACTTTCAGGAATAAAAGATCTTGGTTACATATATATGTGTAA